ACTTGGGCCAGTGAAGCAACGTCCTCCACAACTAGACTGAAGAACAAAACGACAGCAACTTGTCTGTTCCCCTTCTCCCGACTCCCCAATAAAAAACTTTAAAAAAAAAAAAAAAGAGAAATGAGAGAAGAAAGTAAAAATATATGGCGTTCTTACCCAAAAAAATTATTAAATAAATAAATAAAAGAGCGCATGCCCTATCCACTGAACTATCCGGGCAGCAGCTCAGCTCAAGGTACCAAGTCCAGTCTTAGTTGTGGAAGGGTGTAGCCCACCATCGAACAGGCAATCTTGTTGTTATACCAGCTGAGCCATCCTGCCACCTGTTGGCAGCTCAGTGACAGCTCAGCTCGGGCGCAGCATCACTGGCCCATGTGGGAATCGAACCGGGTGGCCCTGTTGCTCAGAGCTCGCGCTTTTAAGCCAACTTTTAACCAGCTGAGCCACTTGGCCGGCCCTTCACTCATTTTCAAAATATTTTAGCAGCCAAACTTAATGTGTCATACTTGTTTTCTAAATGTAATTTTAAAGGAATTTAGCAAAATGCAGTGGATAATCTATAATCAATAGCAAAGTATAGGTATTATAATTTATTTTCTTTAATGAAGGTTGATTTCAATTATTGCTCTTATTGGCCTGTGTTAGTTATGTTTTCAGCAATTGAAAATAAATATACTTCTTTTGTGGGGGAAAAATTTCAGGTTCAGCTCTATGAGGATTTTGCTAAGTCTCGCGCCAAGTGTGATGTTGATGAAACCGTTTCTTCAGCAGCACTTTCTGAAGAAACTGAAAAACCAAAGCTTAAAGCTACAGGCCATGTATTCCAGGTATAGATTACAGTCTACTTTTTAAATGTTGTTGAAAAATATTCTTCAATGCAGCAAATTTTACATGGAACACTGAAATATGAGTTTATTTCAATTTTTTTAATTGTATACAATCTTGAAAATAGGTACAAGTACCAATTTATTTCCATATTAATTCATAATTAGTAAGTAATTCAATATTAAAATTAAATGTATAAAATGCAATATGTTTATTACATGAAAAGAAGGGTTTTAGAAGAGAGAATCTTTTGCTTTGCATTCAGAAAATATTGGAACATCTACTACAAGGTACTAATTTTTCTAACCTAGTGATTAATTAAAGCAGTAGACAAAACAGACTCCTTCCCTTGTAGAAATTAAAAATGAATAAGTAAGAGAAAATAAAGCACAGTATGAGGTTATACAGTATAGGAGTCAGGATGGGTTGTGATTTTTAATAAAAGGATCAGGAACAGCCTCAATTCTTGAGAAAGTAACAAAAAGTACAGGAGTCCTGAAACAAGATGCCTCACGTGCTCAAGGGAATATAGCAAATGAAAAAGAGATGGAAAGTGTCAACTCACTTCTTCTTTCCCTTTTTAAATATTCCATTACAGAAAACCTCTGAACCCCCTTGCCACCAATAAATTAAGTACTGTAGCATTTTTAAAGATAGAAGAGGGAAAAGGTGCTTGTGAAGGTTTATACCTCTCCCATAGTTTTTATCATAGTGTCCACCAGTCTCTTGAGCCTGGTCAGTGGAGCTTACTAGTATAAATCTCTGTGCCAAAGGTGAGACCCAAATCATAAACCAAGTAAAAGGCAAAAGAGAGTGTGGCTGAATCAAAGAAAGGAAAGAAGAGATCCTACAGGGTTCTGATTGTCAAACACAACCACTTGAAATAACCACCTAGCTCAGCCCTCCAGCCCCACCACCAGACTTACGGAATCAGAATACTATGTAGAGGGGAGAGACTTGCAGATTTATAAGGTCCTTAAGAAATGTTTATGCCCAGTTAAGTTTGAGAAACCCTTCTTTGAGAAATGATGCCTGGTTCCAGAAGCATCTGCAAGCATTATCAAGCACTTTGAGTGGGGAAGGGTTAGCTAAAGGAGCTAATGAATAAGATATTCTTTCTGCCCTGAGAAGCTCATTGTCTAGTGGGGGAGACAGACATATACAGTACAATTTATGCAAGTTATAAATGCTCTCATAAAATACAAACTGCACAATAAGCACAGATGAAGGCATCACAGATGAAATATTTTAACTGTTCCTTGAAGAATGAGTTCGATTAATGAGAAGAGGAAGAAAGGCATTGTAGACAGAATAGCGTATGAAAAGGTACTGAGATACAAACATTTGTGGTATGTGAAGTGGACTTGTATATCCTTTTTTCCCCCTTTTAAAGGCATTACAGTACTTACGCAAACTGTGCAACCACCCAGCGTTAGTCTTAACACCTCAACATCCAGAGTTCAAGAGTACTACTGAAAAACTGGCAGTTCAGAATTCTTCTCTTCATGATATTCAACATGCCCCTAAACTCTCAGCTTTGAAACAAGTAAGTAGGTATTTTAAGTGTTAGATGGGTGTTGAGCATTCCAGATCTGAAACACTAGGTAAATTTGCTTTTCCAGTAGATTACTGATGTGTTTACCATTTCTTTTATTTTTTCATTTGGCTTGTTAAAGTGTGGGTATAGCTTTTTTTAAAAATGTGGTAAAATATGTATAGCACAATATATGGCATTTTAACCATTGTTAACTGTACATTAATTACATCCAGTGTTGTGCAATCATCACTATTTATTTCCAAAATTTTTCTATCACCGAAACAGAAACTCTGTAGCTATTAAGCAATCTTCCCATTCTCCTTTTCCCCCAAAGCCTGGTAACCTCTAATTTACTTTCTGTCTGTATGAATTTATGTGTACTAAATATTCCATGTAAGTAGAATCATACAAGTATTTGTCCTGTCGTGACTGGGTTATTTTTCATTTATTTTCAAGGTTCATTCATATTGTAGCATGTGTTGGTACTTCATTTTTATGACTGAATAATATTCCATTATTATTATTATTGTTATTATTTATATACCACATTTTGGTCATCTAGTCATGCGTTGATGGGATACAGTTGTTTCCACTTTTTGACTATTGTGAATATGCTGCAATGAATATTGATTTATACGTATTTGAGTCCTTCTTTTCAGTTCTTTTGGATATAGACCTAGGAGTGGAATTGCTGGACTATGTAGCAATTCTATGCTTAACTTTTTTAGGAGCTGCCAAGATGTTTTCCATAGTGGAAAACATTCCATTTACATTCCCACCAGCAATGTACCAGGGTTCTAATTTCTCCATATCCTCCCCAACACTTATTTTCAATTTTTTATATTATAGTCATCCCAGTAGGTATCTCATTGTTGATTTGCTATCCCAAAGACTAATGATGTTGAGTGTCTTTTCATGTGCTTATTGGATATTTATATCTTTTTTGAAGAAATGTCTAAGTCCTTTGACGGTTTTTAATTGAATTGTTTGTCTTTTGGTTGAGTTTTAGGAGTTCTTTTATATTCTAAATATTAGGCCCTTACCTGATATGATTTACAAATACTTGATCCCATTCTCTGTTGTCTTTCACTTTCTTCACGATGTCCTCCATGGTTTCCGATGAGAAATCAGGTGCTCTTCTTACTGAGGATCCTGTTTTACATGATGAGTCACTTTTCTCTTGCTGCTTTCAAGATTCTCTTTGTCTTTCAACAGTTTGATTATAATGTGTATTAGTGTATTTTCAAATAAAAATTGAATTTCATCCACATTTTAATTATATTACAGACTTCAAATATTTTTAGCTTATATTTTTATACATTACACTTTTACCTGCAGTTGTTAGTTAAACTAATCTCTCATTTTAGAGTGCTTCTTGTTACCCTTAACTATCTGGAATTAAAAAGCTTAGGAACCATGCAGCTTTGGCCCAGATTGTTTCTGGCCATACTCATGAAGGCCTATCCAGAACCCTTCTTTTCCATTTGCTCAGTTCTTTTCAGCCATTCAGAGTAAATGTTCTGTCTCAGGAAAGAACTATTGGGTCGTCAGAAAAGTCATGACATATTTTTTCTGTGATTTTCGTTGCAAAAATGCGTCATGACTTTTCCGACAACCCAATAGCTTGCTTTCTTTCATCTAAAATATGTCTGCTCTCTGAAGTAGAGAAATCTCATTTACTTTAAAAAAATCTGGCAATAGAAATATAGAAACATGTTTATCAGCATGTAATAATGCCAATAATATCTCATATTGCCAAAGCCAGAAATTAAAAATTTCAGTGGACTGGAATGAACTGAAACTCAAGGTGAAATTTAATGGAGATAAGCAGAGTCAATTTTAAAAGAAAACACTTAGGTAAATATAGATTCTGCCCAACCTGGCAAACATTTCATATAGGGTAAACTTGAGTTTAGTGGGCAGAACACTAATCTAGATGCTAAGAACTCTGTGATCGTTTATATTACCTGCCTCATCTCTCTGGGCCTCCATGCCTTATTTGTAAAAATAGGATTAATATTTTTTGAAAGGAATATTTTATGGGCAATGAGATGAAGACGTTTTAAAGTACGTACAATAAAGAAAAGGTGCCATGTGAAAAAAAAAAAGTCTGTGATATACTAGTGGTGTATTATTATATCAGCATAAAACACACTTAAGTAGTCTGGAGGAAGGGAGCTTGGGCAGGGAAGTGGCATTTGGCTTTGTTTAGCTTTCATAGGTTTTTATACTCTGACTTCTGTTCTTTAGCACTCTAGATTGTCTTCCCTTTTGCATTGTTTAAGCATGTACAAGCAGAAACCAGACTCCAGGGTAATGCTTTAAACGTGGTATGAGTGAGTTAGTTCTCTTTTAGGCAGCAGTATTTTAAAACTTGGTCTCTTGGAATGTACCTTAAAGTCTTGATCACATAACTTCACGTAAGGGAGATTTTCTCATTTACTTATAAGGATTCAGGTTCCTTTTATTGGTAATATATTTATCTTGCTGAACAGAGTGGAAACATTAAGTCTAGGACTATTTGACTCATTTTTTATTTATTTATTTTTTAAGATTTTATTGGGGAATTGGGGGAGGGGACCAGCCAAGTTGTTGTTCTTCAGTCTTCGTTGTGGAGGGCACCAGTCGCCATCTGGCTT